AACACACACCCCACTCCAGCCATGATMATTTTGAGCGCTTAAGTTTAAGAAAATTTGCCATATAGTACTCGTATATATGCTCTAAACTTCATTAGGTTTATTTAATCTATAATGTTACACTAAACATATAGTATAATACGAGTACCTAAATTCAGTCTTATTTTATTRAATAATATTTTTTTCTTCCGTAATAATAATATATCATGTCGAAATATATCAACATAACTTCTTGTATATGCTTGATGGTTTTTTCGTTTTAATATAAGTTGAAAACTTATAGGTAGSTAGTAGGTACCTACACATTATTAATTAAACACAAACAATATATTCCTCAAATTAAAATATCATTAAATACATATTGATTTAGTACCTAGCTGTAATATCTTCTATGTAAATATAAAATATAGGAGTCTCGATTTTATGATGATATCTATCATAATATTATCAATTTTGTCAAAACAAACTATTGCWCACTCGATACACCTATATACATTATCTTTATTATTTTGTATATAATGTAATTAATGTAAAAAGTTAWTTTAATTATGTAGAATATAGATGCAGAAAACCTATATAATTATTACAYATCTATGTAGATAATAAATTTAATATACCTACCAATAAAGGTACAAATAAAATAGTTAGTATAAATAAATATGCACATGCTAAATTATCTAATAAAGCAGCATTTAAATTACGTGCTTGTTGTCGATTGTCATATAGGGTAAATATACGTCTAATATATAGATACATATATAATTCATATTATATATTATGAAATAGTGTTATAAATAAGCTATATGTACATTATATGATATGATGTATATAAGCAAGTGACTATATTATATGTACTATGTGTATTGTGTATATATATAGTATTTATTTTTATGGTCGTTCTAGTATAACTAGAATGACGATGAAAACTGGATAAATACATATAAATACGACACGGAACATTTGTTATACAAGACTGCACCGACTCCTCAAATAGGTATAATATACCTATATATATATAATATATGAGTGTGTTGCGGTACTATGTAGGTTGATATATTATTATACGAGTACATCGTATACAAGAGGTTCCGGTTTACACTTTTATAGTAGTAACTGCATGATGATAGGTGTGTATACCTACATATATGTATAAAAATCGTGGGTAATCGTGTTTTACACGGATATTTGACGGCGTGTGCTGGACTTCATGGCGTCATTTACCGTCCTCTCCACGCTGTATATTATACCGCAGCTATACGCATATTTAAATTATTACAAGAAGGTAATCTATATTATAATATACTATGCACTCGCGGAACAAATCACGCACGGGCAGAAGGACGCCGGGCAGACATATTATATTGTATATAAGCGTGCACTAAAATATCATCTCGATAATATAATATATATATATAGATTTTTACAGTAAGCTATATAACTATTACAATACATTATATCCAAATATTATTATATAATATATATTTTAATTACACGCGTTTCTATAGCGTATAAGTGAACGCCTATTATATTAGAATATAGATATTAGATACACGTATTTGCAATGACGTTAAACATTATTGATACAATAATGTATATTATAGATAAAGGAGGCATATTATGTGAATATATGTAATAGGTATATTGGTGGGTTATATAGGCGTATGTATAGGGTATATTGCCGTGCTTATGGTAGAGGTGCATATTCTTATTTGCTAATGATATTAAAATATTTATTTTATAATATACCTACATATTTTATACACTTCATATCTCATTATATTACCCATACTTATATAATATGATATATGTTTAATTACTTGAAAATTATCTCAATAGTTTACATTAGATAATGTATAGAGTTATAAATTATTATAATATACCACTCTAATAAATTATGCTTTTATACGAAATGTAAAATTTGTACATATATAATAGATGGTTAGTTTTTCACAAAAAAAAAAATCAGCCTTTATACACAATAATACTTCTTGAATGTGTTGAATATTGTATTATAACTTATTAGTCCATTGCAGTCAATCACTATTATTATATATATATATATATATATACATAAACATTCATTTTAATTTATCAGTCGTAGGTAATTTTAATTTAATTCACATATATACTCGTATGTATACAATAGCTATATATATGAACATTTTATAAGTCTATTATATGATATGCAAAATAAAGCATATATAAGTATGTATAATAGGTAGGTACCTATTACCCATCTCATATTCAATGTTATAGGTTTTATCTATCAAAGCTATTAACATTTTAGTAGAAATAGGTATAATACCTAGCTGTGAGCCTTAAAATATTTTTGTTACATATACCTATATATAATATATGTACTATGTACTGTGCTTTCGTTCAATCAACTACGTGTCTATTTATAATTTATATATATAAGCTATTTCTATTATATATACCTATATAGCTAACTTTGAGACTCAGTTGTTTGATCTCCATTCACTATTTATATATTTCCTATCCAATGTAACCTAACCTAACCTAGTAACCTATATAATTTAGGTATTTATATAAAAATAAAATCGATTTTATTTTTTTGATGTAGGAAAAACTAATAATAACAGCTAGAGAACACTAAACTTTTCACCAAATATTTATATTAGCATTTTCCATATATGGTAACACTTTTGAGCTATTATTATATATAGGTATATATTTATATGGACTCGAGATATTTTTTGAATTTTGTTAATTTTTTGAAATTTATCTTGATTAAATTTTTCCACCAGGTTAAAAATAAGCTTAACAATTTAATGCAATAGATTCCTCATAAATGTATTTAATRKAAGTTTAAAAATTTTACGTTTGATACACGCTATATGACACATCATCGTCGACATCATCATTGCACGAATGGGAGAGAGGAAGAATCGACATGCAGATCCAATAAGGACCGTGGCAGTTCTAAGAAGTGTGACAAGAAATGAAAAGATTTTACCGCACATAATATATTAAGGTTGTGTTAATTAAGAGTGTTCAAAATTAAAATAGGTACATACAATATATATACATAAAAATATGTTAAAGAAAGTGAAACAAAAAATCAAAATTATAAATTTTGTTTCATAATTTCAGTACACACGATTAACCGGCAATGATGGTTTCTACTATTATATCTATAACAATATATGCTCGCCAGTATCTTAAAACCATGTCGTGCTTTTTGGAACTTCCACCACCGCACTTCTTAGTCCTTRCCYGACGAGATCAGTTTTACCATACTTACAAAAGTTCCTCCTAWCGCCATATCTCTTGGTCCGACGTACAATAARGCACACTTCTATACCAAACTTTCTAATCCAAACCATGACTGGCCGACCGCCTATATACCCACACAATAAACACGGTGCTGATTTCAAGGACGTAGCAGCATTTATTATATTATTATAAACTGATCTACAGACTCGTCATCTATTTATAGCTGGTCCTGATCCTATACGGCTCCTATGGCTGCTGCTGCTGTATAGTGCATACCTACCATACCTAATTATCAACGTCGAACATCACCTTTCATCCTCTATTGCTCCGAGTATTGACGGCTAAACCACAGTCGACCGTAATACGTGTTTTAGTGCACTACGCCGTCGTCGCGGCCCCACGAGAACCCTTTGCTGAAGGTTCGGTCGCCGCCCGGCGTCCTGCAGATCCGACAGTCCACCGCAAATCCTCTTGTTGAATTTCGTGTGCAATATGCCAGAAAKACGGTGCAGGTAATGGACATTTTCTAATTTTTCACCAGCGTTTCAAAGATTTGTACGAATTGTCCGGTTATTGCCTCTTGCAGTGATCGTGGGCCAAATAAAACTGTTGAGAAAAACGCAGCAAAAAGGCTTTAGAAAATATTACCTAATTATAATATGTTTTATATAAATAAAGAAAAATACATAATAGATTAATATTGATTTTTTTTCATAACTTATATATTTGTAATATGTACCTACCTACCTATAACTAATATAATTAATATTGCTATACAGCTACACATTCTTAATTAATGGTTATAATTTGTACAAAATACAAAGCCATTAAACGTGAAGCGAATAGCGAGTACCCACCTATGTGAAATTGTTTTCAAGAAATATCGATGGGTGAATTGGTTTTAAGATTAAACACAATCAATATAGATCATTCGTATTGTTCCATATAGGTACACTCAACAATATATTTTAATGTTATTATTGGTGCAATGTGAATAAAATATCATATTATTGTTTTTATTATTATTATTATGATTCGCGATTCATTGACGCCGAGAAAATCGGCGCGGTCGTCGCGCGGAGGACGGCAGCGTGCGCGACGTCGTTGGCGGCCTCGGCAAACATGGTAGGCGATATGGCGGCGCCCGGCGATTGGTTGACTGCCGGTCACGTGCGGGGCGTGCCTTCCGGCGTCGGTTTCCCCTCCACCAGGGTGACGGTGACGATTGCGGCGCGCACCGGCCCCGACGGCCGTCGTCACCGCCGCCGCCGCGCATCAGTATGCCCAAAACGGTGTTCCGAGTGTGTTTTCGTTTGTGTGCGCTGCCCGTAGGTATATCGTACCATATGATCGCAGGGAATAAAAAAAATCGTCTCGTCATTCGTCAGCCGTTTAATGTCGARTGTTGTTGACTGGATCATCGTTGGAATACTTGGATATATAATAATTATATAAATACAACTCGTCGGACCACGCGTGCGTGCGAATTACCATCGTCAACGTTTCGTTCGTTTTATTTAATAATCGTTATAATATCGCCCGTATGTAACACACGTTTTTTTTTCTTTTTTTTTTTTTAAAACCCTAAGTTTGTCGGACAGCCCTTTGCCCCCGTATATCGATCACCGTCGTCGTCGTCGTATAATAGTAGTTTCGTATACTTCGTAACTCCGTACGTTTTTAACTAGGTGCAGCCGTACTCCAGGTACGCGCAGTAATTTATCGTATAATATAATATAGTGTGTGTTGTATTGAATGCGCCAACGATGAATTCGTTTCTCACGCACAACACGCTGCCGTACCATCAACCGACGCAGATGCACCAGATGATGATGGCTGAGCCCAAGTACTCGCCGCCGGACGACTACGGCAACATGCAGAACTACATGGGTTCACCRGATTTTTTCGGCAGCCCTCACCACCAGCATCACCACCACCAACATCAGCACCACCACCCCTCTCATCACGGCAATCACCTGGGCCAACAGGCACAACACGTCGGCGGTAGTGGCAGCGGTGTCGGAGGTGGCAGTGGTGGCCACCAGCAAGTGCAGGCCAGCGGTGGCGTGGGTGTCGGTAGCTCGAGTGGCCTAAACGGCGGCGGCCATTATCAGGGACACTATCAGCAACAGATCCAGGCCATGTACCCGAGCCCTGGCCAGACGCCATCGTATTACACCAGCGCGGCAACCAATTACGGCGCGTATCAGATGCACCACGGTGGACAAATGCCACTCGAGGCGCAACAACCCCCTGCATCCCTGATGCACAACGCCGTGGGGCAACAGTGCCAGGGTGGCAGCATTATACCGTCCGGGGCCGGTGGCGGCCTACAGGCGGTGGCTCTCAACGCGGTCATGTCGCACGACATCAAGGACGATTCGTCGCCATCGCCGCTGCCGTGCCACCTACAACCCAGCCCGTCATCGTCCAACCACATGTCCAACAACCCGCTGGACGGATCATGCTCTGACGACATGGATGACTGCAACACGGACACGGACGAGATGATAATGACCACCGTCAATGGGTCACCGATCATGATGGACGACAGCGAGTCTTCGGACCGGGTCATCTATCCGTGGATGAAGAAGAACCACGTGGCCGGAATGCGTAAGTCCAGATTACTTATACATATATTAGATATTAAATATTTATAAGTCTATATTGATGTTATACAACAAAGTATGCATTATCTATATTTGTAGCATTTAAGACTTTCCCAAATTTATCGATACTGGGTACAATTATTCTAATATAAATTGGTCAACGTGCTTGTATATATATACTCTATATAGCTATTATAGGTATATACCCCATCAGGGGTGGTTCCAGGAGGGGGGTCCTAGGGGTCGTGGTCATCCTCTGCAAACTCGTATTTAAAAAAATTGTTTTTTGTTAAAACAAAATGTAGGTACAAACGTAATTACTTTTAAGGTTGATGGGTAGGTGGGAATTGAGTTCACGACTTGTTTTAAAATACATCAAGTCTACTTAATATTTTATAATTACGAGTTACYATTTAGTATTCGGTCACTGTGAACTGCAAAATATCATAAGACGACGGTTTTAAGTTTAACTTTTAATTCGTAATCGATATAATTGTATAACAATATGCTCATCACGGAATAYGCGTTCTCTGTTTTATACAATTATACGTCTCTATATATCTCTAATAAATATTTCAATGATGGTACCTACCTGTAATAATACGATAAATTCACGTTTACATAACTAAATATTTCAAAGCTACAACATCGRGTATATTATTACATATTTCAATGTAATATACCTGCCGCTCTTATATAATATACCTACACTACCTTGCTCCCTGCTATGGTATGTAACAATACGTTTACCATCTATTTATAGTGCAAACTATATACATGTTTCAAAAGGTCAGACGTATTTTTTTCTCACTTAATAATACGCCCCGAGTGTATCACGCAGTGCAAGTGATGCGTTTAGTGCTTACATGTGCAGGTATATACGTATGTCCATTGATACGTCATGTTCATTCATGGTGTCTGTTTTTTAGCGGTAGTTTATCGTCATTGATGCGTCCCCAGGATCTACCTGCTCATGTGTCGGGGTATTCGCAATGTCCTGTTGACATGTCGTAATACAATTGAATTGTGGTCATGAGAAGTTTGAGTTTAATAGATCACGTATTCCGTTTACATAATACACTTAACCTTATAAACGTCATTGTCGCCGAAAAGTACCTACCAATACATTATGTTTATCTAACAAAAAAACTGCGATATAAACCACCGTAACAAATTGAACAATATCACATACTGCTACAGCAAGAAGCATTATATAATCTATATTATGTTTTGGCCATTTCTCAAAAAAAAAAAAAATTGGCCACTGTCCATAATATGTATAGACACTACAGTACCACACCATAAAAACATCATCTTACCCAAAAAAAAAAAAAGGTTTTTTCTTCCTCTATTATACCTAATATATTGGCTAAATACAACTTCCTGTAATATTATACGGTTTCTTATTATATCCCTAACCCATGAATAATATCTACTAAACGATAATATCCACGTTTTGTTTTTGTTTTTTTTCGGAAACATGGAAAATTTAAATGTCTTTCTCATGCGGAATTTATGATATTATGTTAAATATTTCTAAATATTAATATTAATTGTGATAAAATATTATTATAATCATAATATAGTTGTCTTTCATACTTTCTGTCAAAATGTTGCATTATGTAATATGTATAATCTTGTAAAAGGACATTAGCCTGAAAATAAACAGTAAATAAATAGATCACAATATATTTAATCTATAATATTATTGAAAATTGTATATTCCGTTGCGCAGCTTTTTTTTGGACAACGATTATAATGACGATTTACAATTATTTTGCTTCTTGGTTTTAAATAGATAAAACTTCATCAGCATGGTACACATACCTATTCGAAATCAATGTCCCGTGGGATCATCGTATTATTCTTATATCGATTTTTAGGCCGATAATGCTGATGATTTGGACGTTTTATTGTTTGTAGGCATGGCGTCCTCGATAAGATTTGAGTAGGTACCCATATTATTATAATACTTCGAGTTTTTRTAATCGGAGAGAACAACATGTATTATACCGTATAAACGCATGTGCTCTCGACGCTGCAGTGTCCGAAAGAGAGCGACCGTTGTCGTAATAGMTATAATATAATAATATGTTGTGTATAGAATATGAGATAGTCAGCGAGATAAGGCGATCGAATAGGAAACAAACGAAACAGTATTATTCGAGTTATTTTGTGTGTGTATATATATAATATATATAGTTTTATGCTGCTCTGCACGTATGGTTGACCCTGACCCCTGCTCTTGTCGGAGACTCAGCAATTAAACCGATCAGAAAGAACACAATATTGTGTGATAGGCACATATATTATATATAGGTAAGGTATATAAGAGGATAAAAATGTTTTTGAGGGATTTATATAAACATCATTGCTAAAAAAAACTCCAAGACGAAGTGACGTTGTATATATATATATTATATATATAATAATATGTTATGAATTTTTATGAATAATGACGTAATGCCGTTGACACAAAAACATAATACCCATCATGTGCTAAAACCTGATTTTCCTCGAGAGACAAAAAACGTTTGACAAAAAAAAACAATTTTCCAAAAATCTASTGAAACTAATTGTTAAACTTTAAAACTATATAAGATCTTAATCTGAAAAAAAATTAAGTATCTAAATAATTCAATATTTGTGGAAGTATTGAACGTTATTAATTTATTATCAATGTTATAAAACATATAGTAAGTTTTATTTTATTTTTATTTTTTACTATGCTTACATAGGAGATTTTTTGAATGATAGTTGGTGTCATATTATAAATCTATTCATACCTTCATGTAGAAGGTATTTCATAAATGATTTATAGTAGGTAATACAAACATTAGTCGTTTTATGTATTATTGTTCATTAATTCTAAAAATGAGATAGGTAGGTTAAGATGTTAACTCATTCTAGTTCATTCGTCATAAAATAATATCTTTTTTTTTTAAATATAATGATATATAATACATTATTTTGTGGTGATATAATTTATAGTGGTTTTTAAACGTTTAATATGAAACTTGGTACCTACMTTTAACCCATATATATCRCTATTATAATATATATGTAATAGGTACAGTGTTCTTGACATAAGAGTTCATTTCGTCTGATAAAATAAGTAATATTATGTATAATAATATGATTGTACTAACCATAAAGATAATACTCGCTGATAATATTTACGAGCAAAATCGGTCGTGGTATACCTACATAATATTATAATATAATATACTGCAAGATACGATGGAAAACCATCATCGGCCGTCGAGACACGTGACATTGACGGAGATTTTTCGCACGCACTTGACCGTTCCTCCGTGTTTAAAGACATTGCGACCGCCCTCTCGAAACCGACGAGTCATCATGTTAGTTTCACGCGATTGTCTATCACGTTTATAATATGTTTGTACTCGTTCGTTCGTTTGTCGGCACACTCTATAGTCGATCGTCAACAGTCTGAGTAGGTATCTCGCGTGCGATGTTCACTGYATTTGGCCATATATATATAATATACTGCAGGGTTAAGTTATATAGTATTGTATTGTAATTATTATTTATACTTTGTTACGACTACATAACTGTCGTCATATTTTATAGTCACCATCATCATATTTAAGAGGTGGACGGATGATCACCAGGTTCGATTCTCTTTATATTTATAAGATTACATACTCGTAAACCATGTTAATTGGCAATTAATATAGGGTATGTATATCATTATGCACAGTGACAAAAATTTATTATGCTTTCCTCTGATCAATCGTTAATAAGAATGCAGTACCTACCTTTCTATATCATATCATTATTCCTCTTATTCTTCAATGGATTCGATTATCTTGTGCAGTATATAATATATATAACCGAAATCGGTATGACGTGATCGATATGACTTTATTGATATACGAATAAATTAGAAACCACAGCTGACCTTCTGATACAACTTTGACAATTTCACGCAAATATTTATCAATTATTAAATAACTCAATAATATTTATACCTTTACAATAACCTGCAGGTATCTAAAAACTGTAGATTTTTTTCTTTATATTATAAATTCGTATAGATATTAAATTGTGTAGATCGCATTCTATTTTAGATTCATTTWAATTCTGTTAATTTTTAATTTAGAATTCAATTCTGAAAATATACAGCATAGGTATCACTACAAATTGTACACTAGCTAAACAAATTGAGAAACAAAAATAATTAGCTTTGCGTGAAACCGTTCAAGTTTTATCGGGACGTTAGTAGTTCCTAAGTTGTAAAAGAGTACTTGTCAATCTGACGATGTGCTTGTTTTTAGTAGTATAYCTTACCTATCGTATAAAAGTATAACCATAGGCTATAGTATGAAATGCAGCAGCTATACAAAACTGCCATAACTCATTGTCCTGTTTAAAAGCTTTGAATGAAACAAAAATTCAAACAAATTGCTATACACAGAAATTAGTATACATTAAATTATACTTTTTAAACTTTTATTTCATTCTTTTGTATAYTTAACATGACTAAAATATTTTTTATTTCTCAACGTAACCATATCTTTGAATAATACAACTTACATTCACATGTCAATAATATTTTGATATTTTATATATGATATTAAATTAATTATAATAAATTCATAATTATATATTATGTTTTAATTCACAAAACAAATGACCACGCATTGTGGAAAAATTAATGTCAAATTGAAAAGATCATTTCATAAAATTAACAACTTTTATCAAAAGATTGATTTCGAGGAATTGGCTATGACCACTATATAGGYCACACAATAACTAGGTATGACGAAAGACGAAAATAGAAAGATGCATAGTATATAGTACCTGATATTATGCACCTTGATTTATATACACGGTGCAGTTTGCGTTCTGCAGCGCATATATCCATGTGATATGTTAGACCTTTGAATTGTTATTTTGTGTTTCATACTTTCATTTGGAATGGTTGCAAATTATAATTTTTGGCACTATAACTATAAAGAAAAATATATTACAATTATT